GTTGCTGTTAAGTTTGCATGTTTAGAGTTCAGTCAGTGTGTTTCCTGTTTTACTTTGAAGGTCCACGTCTCATGTGAGTGTTTGTGTTTTGCTTCCCTTGTCTCGTCCTGCCTAATTACTCCCAGCTGTGCTCTCCTTCTGTGTCTCATTCCCTCGTTATCCCTCTGTGTATTTAAGCCCCATGTTTCTCTTTGTCAGTGTTGCGTCCTCCCTCATAGCTGTGTGATTTTTCCCTGTGGCTCCTTGCGCTTTAGTTTTCCCAGTTTAGTTTTGTATTGTTTTTCGTGTCCCACTCCACACCAGCAATAAAGCTGTTTTTTGAGTTTACTTTTTGTCTCTGTGAGTTTGCGTTTGGGTCCTACTCTTGCCTGCACAGAGCCGTATTGTGACACTGGCAGCCTCGTGCTCAGAGAAACAACTATTTGTAAAGAAGCATCACGACTTGTTTAATTGGATTATACATTTAAAAAAATAAAACAACTAAAATATCTAAAGGTTTCTCATTTGTTGGAACTTTAGTTTAGCATCATAACGTTACCTTATGTTATAAGAGCATGTTGGCAAAAGATTAAAGAAGCTCTATAAATATTGTGGGTGAGTTATTCGTATTAAAGCCTTTAAAAGCATGAAGACAGAAGAAACGGAGGATTAATGATATAAACAAGCGTGAATCATTGCTCATGTGGATGTGTTCCACTTCAGCAAAGATGTGAAAAACATGCCTTTTTCTTCCAAAGCGTCCGTCGTCGGGGCGACGTGCTCTCAGCGCTTAAAGAGCTTTCAGCGTCGGCGTTTCCTTTCCCCTTCAAATCTATTGCAGAACACTCGTTATGTTCTCTCTCGGTGGAAAGATCGCATAACAAATGCATTTTTTTAGTTGCTTTACACTTTGTTCCCTGCAATAATTACTGTAGTTTTACACACACACATTATAACTGTTATTAATATTATTCTGTTCATTTGTTGATGCTATTTTCCTGCTTGTTGTAATGTTGCATATTTTGAAAGGTAAAAGGCTCTTGATCCCGGTCTGGGCGTTAGTGTCAACACTGACAAACACTTCAGAGCTACAGTCAGACTAGACCAGAGTGATCCAGTCCAGGACCATTCATTTAACTCTCCACAGTTTATTTAGAAAACCAGGCGAGTCCAGTGCTGCTCAGACCAGCTCCTTAAAGATGCAGACTGCCCGGTGTAGTTTTGCGAGTTGCTCAACAAAGATTGTTGAGTTTCACCGAGTTTCCCAAATTATTTGAAGGTCAAGTGATCAACAGTTCCCCTTCATGATTTCCTTGATTTTCTAAATATGAGACCTTCAGCTGCTCGGCGAGAACCGTCAGAGAGCTCGTCCACAAACGCTTCAAAAATCCATTTGAGTGCAGATGAGTCTTTCAGCTTTTTGTTTAGAGTTTAAACCTTCATGTTTCAAGCAAAAGAGATCCAGAAGTGAACGTAGCGGTGCAGCACTGTCGCTCCATTCAGGCTTCAACATGTCGTCTGTCGTTGGAATGAAAAGAAATCCAGCCGAAGAAAACAAAAATTCCTGACACACGTTTCCTACAAGAAAATAAAAACCTCAAACCACAAGATGTCTTCGATACGTCCCTTCAAGCTGCTGAGGGTTATTTGGTTGTCTACAGGTCATCTCCATTAGATCTTTTACCAATAACTAAACCAGCCTAGTCTAAATGATCCTCTGGTGGTTGTTGGTCCCTCCCAAAGCAACAGGTTTGTTTTATAAAACCACTCAGTCCATTCATGTCGAGTTTACACTGAAAAATAAAACTTCTGTCGTCAGCAGTCATCGAGCACGCCTCCTCTAAAGGAGGGCAAAACGAAGCCAGCCAAACCAAACCATCAGCCAGTTCGGGATGACTTTTGGAGTCTTGGCTTCTTTTCCACTGATGTTTCAGGTTGAACCCTTCATGGGTTTGTGCAATGAGATCTAAAACTGTGCAAGGCGGGTCAAATGTGTGCAAGGAGACAAAATGCATGAGGGTGGATCCTAACGGTTTAAGGTCTTTTGCTTCGTTCATGAAGTTGTAGCTTTTGATTTGAGCTTTTTTGTTTTTTGAGGTTCTTATTTTTCAGTTGTCGTTGGATGTGGTCGTACGTTTTGCTTCCCGTCTCATCTGCTGTTTTACCTTGTTAATCCATGTAACCAGCGAAATGTATGTGGAAGTTAAAGCAATCAGTCAGGAATCAGAGTATTTTCTTCCCGATATTTCAGCTAGCAGCGCCCCAGATCCAGGATCAGAGGTTCAAAGGAAGTTCACTGGGAAAGTGGCTGGTGGGGCGGAGGGTTGTCAGGAGGGATGTCGTGTGTGGAGCTGGAGGTTATAAGGAGGAGATTTTGACGGTTTCGTGGGTAAAAGCTGTTGCTCGGGTGTTGCGCAGGATGCCGGGGATGGGGGCAGGCGACGGGGGGAGGCTTTCGTCCGGCGTGTTGGCGGGCGGCGTGGGAATGCTGATGATTGCAGCAGTGAAATCTTGTTCCCCGCAGTTCAGCTTTAGGTTGCCAGCCTGGGCGTTCAGACTGGAACGACTGAAACAAAGAAAAAGAAAAGATAAGCAAAAGGTTGTTTTTTTTATTTTTGTGGTAAATTTAGAGACGCATGTGTGTTTCTTTATCTGATTGTAGCGTCTGTGTTTACGTTTGTGGCGGTATGGAGGTTGTTTTGATATGCAGGGTGTCCAGTTCCTGGACGCTCCCCCGGCTGACTGATGCAGTGGAGTTAGCCAGACGCATGGCGGCTCGCCTCCTGGCCCTGCGGGGGCAGCAGCCGGTGGGGTTGTTCTGCGCCCCCTGCTGGCTGGATAGAGAAGTGCTGCGACTGGTCCTGAAGCCCACTGACTCAGTCATACACAGCTCGCTGTAGGTCATCTCATCTGTGAACTCGTGGTTCTGTAAGCAGAGACAGGAAGGAGGGAAGCTGAAGTTTTAGTCTTGCATGAACATTTCTCTGAAGTCGTAAATCTAAAGCTTTGTGATTTTCTGCCTCTGCATATTTTTGTGGCCCAATTTGTATGTTACAGTTATACAGTCTCTTAAATATATATTTTTTCTTCTCATTTCTTTTATTTTTGGGATATTTGTGTTATTTTTAGGGTGTTTTCTGTGCATGATTGTCTTTTTGTCTTTAGTTTTCCCAGATGAAGCTGTTGAAATTCTTCTGTTCATTAATCTATGTGATCATCAGTCTGTGACTGCTGACCGTCTTAAAAAGTGAAGCTAAAATATCTCTCTCTCTACACTGAGTGACTGTAAGCTTATTTTAATGGCATGGATGAAAAGGGCTGAAAGAAATGTAAATTTCAAAATGTACTGAGAGAGAATTGAGAAGGGCGACTTAAAGGAAACTTTGGTGAGTCTGTTTATCCACCTTCTGTTTCTAGGATCAGAAACAGAGTTTATATTAAGGCTTTGTACAAAGACAAAGAACTGCTGAAGATATTTTAAACTGGTGTTCAAAAAAGAGGCAGCTTGAGTTCTGCCTGCGTAAGATGTAAGAGTTGATGGTCCTGAGGGAAATTAAATGTCTGAAAGCTCACCGTTGTCTTCTCCAGACAGTGCAGCAGGTGGTGGTGTTGGTGCTCGAAAGCCGATCTGTTCTTCACACACAGAGCTGTGCTGTCGCTGTCACGACCCTGAAAACACACACACGTAATAAAATGTGTTTAATAAATTGACTGTTTTGTAGAATTGGCGATGATGATGATGGCTTCACACTTTGAGGTTCTCTTAACAAATGTCCTTAATAAGGTTGTTTGCAGAATTCAATAATAAGGATTTCTCTTATGATCAACACTTCAGTTCCTCTTTTTAATGTCAAATATCAACACATTCATGTATTCAATGAATATTTGTAGCCTCATACTGGTCTTTGTTTGCTTCTTTGACCAGTAAAACCACAATAATCACTTTCGATGTTGGGTCTGCTATGTTTGATCCTGAGCAGTCCAGTGCGGTGTTAAATCTCATTTGCAAAGGAAGATGTACGGTGGTGCTAAAGTAGTGAAAAGGAGAACGGGTTTTAAAGCTACATATCTGTTATCTATATCATATTTGATCATATATATCATATTACACCAAATCAAATATGAGCAAAGTTTGGTAGTAAGACTCTGGAAATGGAAACTATCTGCATTTAAAGGTTTACTGAAGAAAGAGGAAAGAGATAAAGCTCAGATGAGTCGGATGTGATGTAGAAACTCGCATCATCGGCATAAAAAACAAACAAGTATTAATCATTTGAATGTGTTGGCTCCAGGCTGTAATGATGAAGACAGAGTTTTCCAGGCAAATGGAAACATTTTTTACATGTTACTGGTCACATTGCCAGGAAACACTTGATTGTCGACAAGCTGGTCGACGGGCACAAACTAACTTTTAGCTGTATAGCACTTTGTACACGTGACAAAAGTTCAAAGTGCTTCATAGAGGAAACAGTTGCAATGTAAAAGTAGAATAACCTGGGGACACAAGAAATGTAAATGTAATAAAATAACAAATCTTATTTTTAAAATGAAATTAGGTGAAAATAAAAGTAGAGGAGGCAAAATACAAGGAAAATGAGAACATTTACTCGAACATGACTTCTTTTCCACCAGGTATCAGAAAAATTTGAGATGCTCTCAAATTTTGACACCAATAAGCACAAAGCTGCCAACTATTCCTGAACAGAAACAGTCCATTTATTTGAACACAGTTTTCCCAACTCCAACTAAATAAAGCTACTTTCAGCCACTCCTTTATTTCCCAAGGGTCCCTACAAAAGGATGGATTCAGGATGGCTTTCTTTACACCACCTGGGTTTGTGACCTACTGAGTTTCACTTTCACCTGGAAACTATTCAGAGATTTTCATGGATAAGATAAGATAAAACTTTATTAATCCCTCGGGTGGGTTCCTCTGGGAAATTTGTTTTCCAAAAAGCACAGCACCGACAGAAGTTACAGAGTTAAGAATATTATATATATATATATATATATATATATATACACACATATATAAATACAAAGACATATATAGATAAAATATACAAAGGGGATAAATAGAATAAATAGGAATAAAAATAAAAATAAAAATACAAGTGAATTGCACATTTCCAGTATGGAGTCTATTGCACTGCTGATTATTAACAAAAAGTATTGCACAAAAGGTAATTGCACAGTGAAGTGAAGAGGCACTACATAAGGTGAAGGATAAGGATAAGGTGAACGTGTTAATCAGTAAGCTGCAGCGTTTGTTTTTTTCTCTTTTTGCATTATTGTTCAAACTTATTTCAGCTGCTGCTCCGTCCTGTAATCATTTCATCTTATTTGCAGCAGGGGAAGCATAAATAGATCAGAACATCTATTTTTGAGGTACGTGTTTCTTATGAGACTCACGAGTTTACTTTCATAAACTTGTGAAATGTGGGACATTGTCTGGATATGTGGGGCGGCGGGCTGAGGGATGAAGCTGCTGTACAGTCCCACATGAGACGCCACACCTGTTCAGAAGGACCGTACTGTGTTTTTGACTCATACTGAGGTTGTAATAAAATAACTGCTTTTCTAAACTGTTACAGGTAAATAATCTGCGTTTAATAAAAGATTAATAATGCAGCAAAAAGAGGCTTCTGCATACACGCACTTTAAACTGTAACTTTTTAACTAATATTTGCTTGCACTTGTAAAGACTGTGTGATTTCCACCACTGGATTTGAATGAGCTCATAATCTTTCCTTTGGCTCAGTCTCATAAGACAAATCTTTGATTTAAAATGCAGAATTTTTTTCCTAGAATTTAGTTTTTTTTTTATCAGTAACTCATCTTCAGTTCACATTTCTCCACATTAATAAGAAACAACTGCAAAAGTTTTCCTTTCATGTTTGAAAAGCCCAAACTGAGACCTGATCGACATCTTTAAGACTCTTTTCTTCTTATTTTAATCACCTTTATCTCGTTCTTTCTCATTTTGCTTTGTTTTTTTTTTCCCAGCCGGCTTTTAATTGAGTTTTGTTATTTTCCCTAAACTTTTTTTCACGTGTTATGATGAAGAAAAATGAAGCTCTCTTCTTGCCCTGTAGCACAGATTTCCTCCCTTTCTCCATATATTCGCCACTTTCTCTGCACCCCATTTTTCTTCCTCTTCACCCTCATTATGCACTCTTTAAATCCAGCAGTCATCCCTCATTTTGGCTCAGTGAGATTAAGACTCAACAATATCTGTGTGAGTCTGTGTGTGAGACCCATCCACTCACCCTCTACCTGGAGCCTAAAGCCGTTTTCATGATAAAACATTTAAACCCGGTGAATCTTTCATCCTCTTGACTGAAGAAAAAACTGAGACTCTGAGTCACGATTAAGCCGAAAGATAAAAAAAAGAAAGTTCGTCAGATCTGCAGTGATTTAGATCCAGTTTATTTTCAGAATCTAATAAAAATATTCCTGCAGGTTCACACTGTGGGATACATCCATCTAGTAAATAGGAACAAGACTAAAAGGCCGAGGGCTCCTCTGAATCTTTCATACTCTTCACACCCCAACAAATTATGAGAGTTCTGAAATTATAACAAAAAAAGAAACCGTTCTTTTCTCTAGTCTGAAAATGTTGGACAGTTATTGGTATTTAAAGGGAAGTTTAGAGTGGAAACTAAAGGACATCTTTACTCATACTACACATTAAGTATGGCTGTTCCGTCAGATAGCTAGCATCACTAGCATGTAAGAGAAATATATACAAGGAAAAGATGCAAAAATGGTGCAGTACTGGACACCGAGAGTTAGCTGTCCTCTTTAGAGTTTCAGATGATTTATTTTATTTTGGCTTTTCTGCTGCGTCCCAAACAACAGCTGGATCTAAGGTGCTAAACTGTAGGCTCTGTCACGGTCTGCGGAGACAGGCCGTG